TGTGTGTTCATTCACCCTCGCTCGCTCGCGCCGACCTCCTCTGCGGCCCTCGACTCCTCTTCTCCTGCCCTCCTCTCCTCTCCTATCCTCCCCTCCCCTACTCTACTCTCCCTTGTCTTCCCTCTCCTCTCCCCCCCCCCCTCGTCCTCCCTCACCTCTCCTCCCCTCTCCTCTCCTCCCCTCCCCTCGTCCTCCATCACCTCTACTCTCCTCCCCCTTGTCCTCCCCTCTCCTCTCCTACACCTTGTCCTCCCTCACCTCTCCTCTCCCCCCCTTGTCCTCTCCTCTCCTCCCCCTTGTCCTCTCCTCTCCTCCCCTCTCCCCCCTTCCTCTCTCCTCTCCTCTCCTCTCCCCCCTTCCTCTCTCCTCTCCTCTCCTCTCCCCCCTTCCTCTCTCCTCTCCTCTCCTCACCTCCCCTCTCGCCTGTCTAGTCCTCTCTTCGACTCCCCTCCCCTGACTTTTCCTCTCCTATCCTCATCCCCTCTTCCTCTCCCCTGCCCCCCTTTGCTGTCCTCATCCTCTCCCCTCCCGCTCCCCCTTTCCTCACCTCCTCTCTCCCCCTGTCCCCCCCTCATCTCCCTCTTCACCCCCTCTTCCTCTACCCTGTCCTGTCCTCCCTTCCTGTCCTCCTCATCCTCTCCCCTCTCCCCCCCCCCTTTTCTCACCTCCTCTCTCTCACTCTCTCTCCCTGCCCTCGCCTCCCCTCCCCTCCTCTCCCTATTCACCCCCCCACCTCTTTCCTGCCCAACCCTCCCCCCTCCCCCCCCTCACTTACTCCCTCCAAGGATTAATCGCTCTCCCTCGGCGGTCATGCAACAGTTTTCACGACCCTGTGTTAACGTAAACAGAACTCCCAATTATGCACAAAACATGACGATGAGAGAAGACACGAAGAAATAAAAGAGTAAATAAATAATAAAAAACATAATAATAATAATAATAACAATAACAAAACAACAACAACAATAATAATAATGATAATAATAATAATAATAATAATCATAATAATAATAACAATAACAAAACAACAACAATATAATAATAATAATATTAATAATAAAAAAATACAAACACGTCATCGAATTAACATACAACCTGGTAAAAAAATACATATTAAAAACAAAACAAAACAGGCACGGATATTACACAAAACAGAGAAATTCGAGCGAGATAAAAATAACAATAACTACAGAAAAAAAAAAGAAAAACACTTGAAAAGAAAACCGGACGATCACAGGACAAAAAGACCCGCTGCTGAACGAAATTTTCTTTCCTTTTCCTCTTCCTTTCTCAACTTTTCGAAAGCTGGAGAGAAATTTGAACTACGCAAACACTATAAAAAATATATAAAATAAGAGAAAGAGAAAAGACAATTTGCTTTGTCTCATTTTCGAAACCAAAAAGAGAGAAGATTATAGATAAACACTTTGCTAAGACCTTCATTTTTTTTCGAAAGCTAGAGAAAAATTATTACAATGCGAGCACTAAAAAGTGTGTGTGTGCGTGTGTGTGTGTGTGTGTGTGTGTGTGTGTGTGTGTGTGTGTGTGTGAGAGAGAGAGAGAGAGAGAGAGAGAGAGAGAGAGAGAGAGAGAGAGAGAGAGAGAGAGAGAGAGAGAGAGAGAGAGAGAAAAAAGAAAAACAAAAATGAGACAGAAAGCGAGTGAGAATGAAAGACAAAAGAAAGAGAGAGAAAAAGAAAACAATAACACAACACAGAAAATAAGTGAAAGAAAAAAAGAAAAGAAAACCAGAGAGAGAAAAAAAAGAGAAACAGACAGACAGAAGGAGAAACAGAGCGCAAAATATCACACACAAAACAAACTCTCTCCCCCGAACGAACATGTATCACACACTTCATCTTATTTTTCTCTCCTTTTCGAACGTTTTTGAACACTTACACAACGAACCTTGACCATAAGAGACCTTCTAAGACCGGCCGGCGTGGCGTGAGTCGGCGCTCTCCCGAAACAGATTAAGAAGAAGGGAAGAAGGAAAAAAGAAGGAAAGAAGAAAGGGAGGAAAGGAAGAGATAATGGAAGGGAGGAAAGAAGAGAGGGAGAAAAGGAAGGGAAGAAAGAAGAGTAAAGAAGAGAGGGAGAGAAAGGGAAGGGAAGAAAGAAGAGAGGGAGAGAAAAGGAAGGGAAGAAAGAAGAGAGGGAGAAAAGGAAGGGAGGAAAGGAAGGGAAGAAGAAAAGGAGAAGAGGAAGAAATAAAGGAAGGAGAGAAGATAGGAAGAAAGGGAAATGTTAAAGGAAGGAAGGAAAGAAGAAGAGAAAAGGTAGAATTATAAAGGAAGGAAGAGAAGAATGAATAAATTAATAAATACAAAAGGATGGAGGGAAAAAGAGGAACGAAAAAGGAAGAAATGAAGAAAAGAAGAGAGGAAGGAAGAAAAAGAAATAAAGGAAGAAGGAAATGAAGGAAGAAAAAGGAAGATAGAAAGAAGGGGAGAAAGGCAGAGAGGAAGGAAGGAAGGAAGGGAAGAAGAAAGGAAGAAAG